CGCCGCTCCCGGAGGCGGGCTGCCCCCTGCCGGCCGCCCCGCGGCCCCGCCCCCGGTGAGGCCCCGCCCCCAACGAGACCACGCCTACATCTAGGTCTCGCCCAGTGTGAGGCCACGCCCACTTCTAGCCCCGCCTCCCCTCTTGAGGCCCCGCCCCTCCCGGCGCAACCAGCGGCTTCCGCTTCCGGCGGCGGGGCCTGAGGCGGGCGAGGGGCGGTGAGTGACGGGGACTCTCGGTACCGGGGCGACTCCTTTGCCTGGGGGTGTGTGTGTGGGGGGGGGTGTTTAGGGGTTTACCGCGTCTCTCCCCGTGAAGGTTGGGGGGGACAAGCCTTGCGGGCACTCCCGGGGGCGCTCCGGGGCCGCCTCGGTGGGGTGGCCGGGGGTTTTGGCCCTCCCCGCTCGCCCCGTATAGGCCGCAGTGGGATTTGGGGGGCTCTGCGTCCCCTCCCCCGGGCTGCCGACCTGTGCGGGGCGGGGGTGGGTGACCCCTGGGCTGGCTGCTGTGGGTCACAGGGGGTCCCTGGCCTTGCGGGGGCTGCTCCAGCCCCGCTCCTCACCCCAGACAGGGCTTTGCTGGTCCCCGGAGCGCTCGGAGCCCCTCTCCCTGAAAGGAGGGTGTAGAGCGGTGGGGGTTGGCCTGTTCTCCCAAGGGATTCATGACAGGAGCAGAGGAAATGGTCTGAAGTTGGGGCAGGGGAGGTTTAGATTAGATATTAGGAAGAATGACTTTCCTGAGAGGGTGGTCAGGCACTGGAACAGCCTGCCCAGGGAGGTGGTGGAGTCACCATCCCTGGAGGGATTTAAGAAATGTGTAGACACGGCACTTCAGGGCATGCTCTAGTGCCTGGGATTGTTGTTTTGTGTCTGTCTGTGGGTGGGTGTGGTGTGGGTGTGTGTTTTTGTTTATGTTTGTTTGGGGTTTTTTCTGTGGTTGGACGGAAGAATGACTTTCCTGAGAGGGTGGTCAGGCACTGGAACAGCCTGCCCAGGGAGGTGGTGGAGTCACCATCCCTGGAGGGATTTAAGAAATGTGTAGACACGGCACTTCAGGGCATGCTCTAGTGCCTGGGATTGTTGTTTTGTGTCTGTCTGTGGGTGGGTGTGGTGTGGGTGTGTGTTTTTGTTTATGTTTGTTTTGGGTTTTTTTTGTGGTTGGACTCGATGATGTCAAAGGTCCCTTCCAACCATGAATATTCTGTGATTCCCCTCCGGCCCCTGGCACCCCCAGCGGGTGGCGTCCCCTGCAAATGGGGTTTGCCCGGAGCCTGGGCTCCGCCTGACGTGTTTTCTTCCAGCACCCAGATAACTCTTAATTTGCAGCTCTGTGTGCAGGAGATAATTTGGATACACCTCTGTGGTGTGTGGGAGGAGATCCCTGCGCTGGTCTTTCTTGCCTTTTAGAACTCCATAAGGACGGAGGAAGGCTGTGGGTTTTTTTTTCTAAACGCAAAATTGCTAGAAAGCCTCATTTGTTTTAAAAGGTGGGCAAAGTGCTGTGGAAACCAGGCAGTGCCAGGATCTGCCTGCTAGATACCTGCGGAGGGGAAGAGGCCACTGCCATGCTGGAGGCCCCTGGACGGTCTGTGTGCAGAACAGAGCACGATGCCTTTCCTGCACGGCTTCCGCAGGATCATCTTCGAGTACCAGCCCCTGGTGGACGAGCTCTTGGGGCTGCTGGCGATACAGGACGCGGAACAGCAGAGCACCCTTGAGAGGTAACTAGATGTGGGGCTGGGAGCAGGGTTCTGGGGTTAAATGCCCACTTGGTGCTTTAGGATGTGACGGCTGGAGCTCAGTGATGTGGCCGAGGTCAGGCACAGCATGGGCTGGGAACAAACCCCAGTCCTGGGGAGCAGCTTCTCCTACGGAGCTGTTCTTTGGGAATGTGGGGGTGGAGCAGAGCAAACAGGGGCTGTGTGTGCTCCCCAGGAACAGCCCTTTCTGTCTGACCCATGGCAGTAAAACCTCAACTGGGGTTTATTTGTGACCCTGACGCTGCTGTAGAACCCCACAGCCAACAGGTTAGAGGCCTGCTGGTTATGAGACAAGAGGGGAGACCAGGGCATTTTCTTCTTCACCTGGTGCTGCTGTGACCCTCACACACCCCTGAGATGTGTGTGTCCTTCAGCTGGGTGATTGGTTGTTTTTGTGTGTCTCAAGCCCTGCCTGTCTGGGCAGCGACAGGAGCCAGCTCTCGGCTGTGAGACGAGTCTTGGAGAGGGAGACCCAGTCCCCATTTTATCAAGAAGGAGTGAGCTATGCCCTGCTGAAGGTCACCGAGCTGGGGCTCGTCCCTGCTGCAGAAATCCTCCTGGAGTTTGGAGCTGACCTCAGCTTTGAAGGTAAGGCTGGTGGGAAAGGGCAGGGCCCTGCCAAGAGGAACCAGCTGGTCAGAGGCTGCCCTGGGAGGTGGTGATGTCTGGGGTGGGAAGAGGGGGTGCTGCCAGCTCAGACCCTCACTCCTTGCTGGGATGGCACAGACATGCCTTGTGGTAGGCCTTGTCCAAACCCAGCCACGTGGGAGCTGCATTCTCAAGGCTGTCTCCAGCTGCCCCCTGCCACTTTTGGTGGGTATTAGGGGCCGTTCTGGGGAAGCCCTTTGTTCTCTCTGACGCTGTGTTTTTTGTCCTCAGATCCAGTCACCTACTACACCCCCCTGCACATCGCGGTGCTCCGCAACCAGCCGGACATGGTGGAGCTCCTGGTGCACCACGGGGCCGACATCAACCGGAGAGACCGGGTACGGGCTTAGCTGCCTGGGCATGGATGAGCTGAGCCTCCTTGAGACTTCACTGCAAGGGACTGGTGTGTGGGGACACCCCTCCTCGCTCCCCACCTCTCCCCCCTTGGTGGCCTTCCATGCCTGTTGTCTGTAGTGCTCCAGTGCTGCAGCAGAAGTTCAGGTTGCCTTTGGCTGAGCAAACTTGCCCCTGCCATGGAGTGATGGGTGGGAGGAGGCTGGAGTAGACAAAATCTCTGCCTGTGGACACACTGGGGAAGGTTCACTTTGATTTTTGGGGATGGGTTCAAATATGTTCTTACGTTCACCATGATGAAGCCCTAACAGCGATTCTCCAGAGGCACTCACAAATAGTCTTTAATACTTACTGGTGATTTTTTTTCCTCTTTGTCTGTGCAGATCCATGAGAGCAGTCCCCTCGATCTGGCCAGCGAGGAGCCCGAGCGGGTGCCGTGCCTCCAGCGGCTGCTTCAGCTGGGGGCTGATGTCAACGCAGCTGACAAAAACGGTCCGTGTGCCCCGTCCAGCTCCCCCAGCCTGGGTGCTCCTGGCAGTTGGTCCTTGTGGGTGGGCAAGATCAGGATCTGGGTCCTTCCATCTTGCTGCTGCAAATACTGTCTCATTACAAAGTGGTGTGGAAGTTGGGTGCAGGCTGCAGAACCTCCCTGGTGCTCTGTGTGTTCTCCTTGTACCTTGGCTGCATCAGGGGCTGAAACCAGCTCTGCAGTCCGTGGGAAAGGGGATGGGGCTCTGCCCTTACATTCTTGGGTGCTCATGTGCTCTAAAACCCACTCGTGGCACACGTGCCCTCTGGGGACACCACCAGCCCTGTGCATGTGGCGTGTCACCCTGTCCCCACAGCTGTGCAGCACCACAGGGACAGCAGGAGGCTGCCAGAAGGAGAAGGGCTGTCTCTTCTCATGTTTGGCTGTCTGGTTGGTGGGTTGGATTGTTGTCCTTTCTGCCTTTTGGGGTGTTAACCTATTTCCCTATTTCCATCTGACTGAGTGATTGCTCCGTTGCAGGGAAGACAGCGCTGTTGCACGCCCTGGCCAGCAGTGATGGTGTCCAGATCCACAACACCGAGAGCATCCGTCTCCTGTTGGAAGGAGGTGAGGGCAACCTTCTCCCCTCTCTGCAAACCCTCCAGGCTTGGTGCTGGCTGATTCTTTTTAAAGCACTAAGCACTACCCTCTCAACTCCTTTATGTTCCTACTTGAGGAAGAGTAAAGCCCAGCAGTGCCACAGTTAGTGCTGTCCTGGCCTCGTTGTCTGCAATGTTCTCTGTCCCCTTCTCCAGGTGCGGACGTCAGGGCCACCACCAAAGATGGAGACACTGTCTTCACCTACGTCATCTTCCTGCTGGGAGAGATGGTGTGCAGCAACACCGAGGAGGCACAGGTGATCAACCGTTTCTGCTTTCGTGTCACGCAGCTGCTGCTGGCTCACGGTGCCAACCCCAGCGAGTGCCCGGCCCCCGAGTCCCTCACCCACCTCTGCTTCAAAAGCTTCAAACGCCACTTCCCACTGCTGCGATTCTTGCTGGAGTCGGGTGCTGCCTACAACTGCTCCCTCCATGGTCCCTCCTGCTGGTCGGGCTTCCACATCGTCTTCGAGTGCCTCTGCTCGCACCTCAGTGTCTCTGAAGATGACAGCTTCTCTACAGACCTCATCCAGAAGGGTCAGACTCTGCTGGAGCTCATGATGGCCAGTTCACAGGCCATCCAGCTGCCCAGCAACTTTGAGGTCAACACCAGCAGCTGTAGGTACCACGGGGAGAAGATCAGGACTCTTTTCTGCTCTCTGAAGCAGCTGGAGCGCTCCCCCCAGGCACTGAAACATCTCTGCAGGGTGTTTATCCGGCAGCGCCTTAAACCGTGGCCAGTAGATGTCAAAATCAAGGCTCTACCTCTTCCAGACAGGCTGAAGTGGTACCTCCTCATTGACCACGCTGCTGCCGGGCACGAGGACCTCTGAGCCTGGCTAATGCCTCTCCATCCCCACCCTCCATGGTCATCGTGTGCCTACAGCCACCAAACCTCTGCTCTGGGCCAGTTTTCTTTGCAGAAGGTGAACTGTCCACATGCCCACGGCTTGGCCAGTGCTGCCCACGGTGTCTGTCTCTGCTGCATTTTTGGGGGGTGGGGGTGCTTTTTTGAGCATGAAGCTGATGCACGTCTGTGGAGGCCTTTTTGCTCTGGGGCACATGGTGGGGAGCTGGGCAGAGCCCTGTGGCTCCCAGGGGGTGGAGAGAACCCCTGGGCAGAGGTTTGTGTGGATTTTAAGGAAGGGCCTGATGGGCAGGACCAGTGGGGCGGTTGGGGTGGTGTGACTGGACCTGTCAGGGCAGCCTGTCCCCTCTCTCTCCAGCCCTGCAGTGAGTCCTGAGATGCCTGGGGGTGCTGGGAGGTGTTCCCTGCACCAGGAGAGTGCTGGCATCAATCTCTTGGTTTGCTGCCTCTGGTCCTGGTGGTGGAAGCAGACATGGTGGAGGCAGGCCTGGCATCTCCACATGGATGTGGACACTTTCCTCACTCGTGCAGGCTGCTGCACCCAGGAGCGTGATGTGGGTGAGGGGAAAGGGGGCTGGCAGTGGTGGCCGGCTGCTGGGCACCCTCTGAGCTTCTACTGGGAGCACCCCATCCTCCCAGCACAGAGGACCTATCTGCCAAGGACACCTTGGAGGTGCTGGGCTCCAAAACAGACAGACGAAAGGATGCTTCTTGGCTTCATGATGCGTACGAGGAGGAGGAACAGGCGGCTGAGTGCCTTGTGCCTCCCTCCCCATTCCTTGGACCTTGGTCTCCAGTGCCTCCTTCCCAGGAAGAAGAAATTGCAGCAGGATTCGGGGGGTTTCTTTCCAACCTGCTACTGGAGCCTACAAACTGTGGGGCTGCACACGGAGGTTCCTCATCCCAGCTTTGCCACAGCTGTCTGGTTCCCCTTCTAGGCATCTGCTGCCCCGTGATGTGCCAAAGACTGGCCGCAGAGCTGAGCCCTCCCTGCATTTTTGTTGTTTTGGTTTCTGTTTGTCATGGGGGACAGATGCAGAAGAGGGTGAAAAAAGGAAAAAAAAAAATAAATCTATTCTGAGCAGGTACAGTTTATAGCAGGTGGATGTGGGATCCACTGGCAGTTTGGCTGCAGAAGGGTTGTCTCCTCCCCCCACTGCCTTCCTGTGTTTTACCTTCTCCCACCCTGCAGAACTGGAGCTGTGCATCTTGATGAATTGATGTTTAAAAAAAAAAAATATATATAATAATGTGATCAAATACTCCCCTGGTGTCTGGAATGGGAAATGAGCAATTAAACGAGGCCTTTTTATAATAATGGCAAGGGGCTTATTTCTTCTGCAGGAGGGATGGGGTGGAGGAGAGGGCTCTGTGGGGATGGGGTGAGAGCCCGGCTGGAGGGACAGGCTGCAGCTGGGGGCTGGTTGCCCACCTGGCAAGTTGTTGTGCCAGCATTGGCCAAGTTGTGTTGGGCTACAGGATTACATCCACCTCCTTTTCTGCTGCCCATGTGGGAGACCTGTTCATAGGATTGAAGGAGATGACCCCACAAAGCACCAGAACCTGCTGTTGTCTCCCCAACCCACCACAGGGAAATGGCAGAGACTTCTCCCATTTTCCTTGCCCATCTCGTTGCTGTGAGCAGCCCCGAGCTCAAGAGCAGGAAAGGGTCAAGCACCCAACTGGGGAATGGATCCCTGACCCTCACAGAGGTGGTCCCAGCTCCTGTTCACCAACAGGAGCCCTGTGTGACCAGTCTCAGCAACCTGCTGGTGCTCACAGAGCGTGTCTCTGGCAGGGAAGACCCTCTTGCTCCGGTACAGAGCCCCCAAAGGTGGCATCAAGCCAACACTGCGTCCGACAAAGCCCACGTGCAGGAGTGCAACAGCAGGAAAATGTATTTGGCAAACACCTCTTTTTCACAAACAGCAGCGACTTGGAAGACAAAGCCCCATCCTTGTCACCAGCCCCGGAGAGTGGGAGTTGTGACACCCTCGCCGCTGTCTGCCACCCCACAGTGAAGGCATGGTCCTCACCCCTCCCTGCCCCGGCAGGAACCACCGTGCTGGCCCATGCTCCGAGCTGGCCCCGGAGAGACCTTCTCCAGCTGCCCTCATCTCATGGCGAAGGTGTAGACGTGGTAGATCTCATCAGGGAAGTTCTCCTGACGTTCCTCAGCCAGGAGGTGCAGCCCAGCTCGGCGGATGATCTTACGGACGACATCCAGGTCCCGGCAGACGCTGCTGTCCACATCGTCCATGATCACGCCCTCCTGTGCCATGTTGTCCTTGATGACCACGATGCCGTTGGGCCGCAGGCCGGCGCGGCACCGCTTCAGGAAGTCGGAGAGGTGGTTGTCGGTGAGATGTCCTGGAGG